AATCTGATGTCCACAACATTATTATCAAAGCCTACATTTTTCCATATATATCTTACTGTCTATGCGTATGAAGTGCCCCGGCCAAGTGCCAGGTGCAGAGGATCCAAAAGATCGTAAATGTTGTCGCCAGGTGTGTCGCTGGCATGAAACGCAGTCAGCATGTAACACTGACTCTGCAGTCCCTAAGCTAGCCCCGGGTTGATGACTTGGTGAAAGAGAGAAACGTGCTGAAAGTATTCAAAGCTCTAAGACGCGACGAATCGTCCCCGGCTGTCCAATCTCTTTTTAAGACACGTTTCTCTGTTTCACTAAGGGAGACTGCGCTCCTCCATGTCAGTGCCTCTCCACCCGCCACGGTGCCGACCTGAGGTCACGAAGCGAGCCTTTCCTTATCGTTCCGCGCTAACCTGGAACTGCCTGTCCTCCGGCCACCACTATGTCTTCATCCTTGGCTTCTGAGGGATTAAAAACTCCACCTCAAAACGCAAATATTCAGGTTCTCCGCCTTGATTTTGATCCCACACTGGTTACCTGTGTGATTGTGTATATGTACATATGCATGTATGTGTGTGGTGCTTGCAAGTCAATGCGCGTCCCATATATTCACAATTTAGTTGCATTCATCTTTGTGTGTGTTTTGCCGGGTTTGATGCTACCTGTCGTTAATGAAGGCATTTATTGGATTCATCGCTCAAATTTGCACGATGACCTAAAGGTTGCGATAGCAGGCCACATCACTGACACTGACCTCACGTGCGCTGGTACTCTCGCAGTGTCACGCGCCAATGTGGCGTAATTTAAGGGAGCGTTCAGAACTTGAAAATATTGAAAAAACACCAGATGTGATGAAACGAGTTTGCTAATAACTTTTGGCATACTTTGTTGCGGAGAAGACTGCCCTGGACAACACAAGTTCTCTACTTTGTTAAGATGCTCCACAATACGGCATTGTTTGATTTCACCATTATACATTGCACAACATTGACTGAGAGTTAGTTGACGGCTGTTATATCTGTAAATCGTTCTCACGAACGCCAGACATGAACGACTCGACAATGACACTTTTCTTCGCCTTGATCGTCACAGGGCTATGTAATGGCGGGATTCGCACAAGTACTCTGCTAGCCTTTGCCTATGCCCATGAAAATCCCCCCTCTGGTCATGTTCCGGGGGGGCTGCGAGCAAGGCTTACCCCCAGGGCAGGAGGTGGCGTGCAGCGGCGGTGATGGTTACCAATCCTGCTTTTTCCGTGAGTCTTGGTGCTGGACGGGTGCGTGCCTGGTTTCTAATGTTGATTCCTGGCTCCCACTTCTCCACTCAGAAAACTCTATCTCGGATCCTCAGTTCGCATTGGTTTCACAGGCCCCGCCTAAGTTTCTGGATCTTATTGGCTGTTTTGCAAACACCTCACCCTGGTTCCAGGCCTTTAGCGGTTCTTTCGCAAATGCAATCATGGTTTCCTGGTTCCCACTGGTTCCTTTAAAACACCAGAACCTAGTTCATGGTTCCAGGAGTGCGGGAAGTTGTCCAGGATTGGGGGATTTAGATTCACTTTGAGTCGTTTCTCCGCATAAACTGGCATAAGCCTGTTGCTGAGTGTTGGAGTGTGGAGTTCAGGGAGTTCGCTTCAGTAAAATGTGTGGAGTTTAGGCCCCCAAAGCCCCCTATAATGTCCTAGTTCCCGCGTCTTTGCCTGGTTCCTATTGGCTTTCCACAAACATCAGACCCCGTTTTCTTGTGTCCATCAGTTCACCATGGTTCCCACCGGTGTTTCGGTTGCCGCTGGGAAGTTGTTTTCCGGGCTTTTATCCTCGTCTACACTCCTCCCTTTTGTACATCTGTGCTTCATAAATTTACCCTCTGCTGGTTTTTTGTTCGTGAAATTTGTTTTCCCATTCGATGTTTATCCCGTCGACTTTTCTTATTTGTGACTGTTTTCCGATATAACCTGTACCGTAACGATGACATGACGATTTTGTTACTGTTTTTACTGGAAAACTGCTCTATCACGTGGTTGCTGATGATTCCTGGGTCACAGGGCGTCAAAAGGTTTTCTGTTATGTCAGGACAGGTCACTGCCCTAAAATAACCTAGATCGACCATGTTCTTTGACGAACGTGCCGCCTAGGTTAGCAAACAGCACTGATTTTTAATTCAAACATTGAAATAACCTTGAAGGTGTTTGGCTATTTCTGCCTTCTAAGCGACAACGAAGGTCATTGACATGACATGAACAATAGCGACTTTTTATCATGAGAGCAATGTGGGTTAAAGCTGATTGCGTGATGTGGAATGGGAGCACTCGCACCCCGAGCTGGAATTTGGCCTTCTTTCATCCTATTTGGTCTGAATGTCACGTACTACGGCTTTTTACACCAAAGAATTCTCATAGAGACCCATGAATTCCTTGTGAGTTTTCTGACCTAAGTTAGCCTTGTTTTAGTTCGTGGGTCAAATTCACCGTCCACCAGAGCGCATCACATTCAACTCGCCCCCCCCCCCCCCTCTCCCTCTCCCTTAGCGCGGGTTAACGAACCGGGCGGAACCCGCTTTGGTAGTCGGACGAAGCGAAATCGGAGAGTTGGTCTCAACAGACAGCAACTGTGTCGTATTCCAGTGTAATATGATGTGCCGGAAAACATACGCACAAGCACATCTGACTGCACGCGGATTATACTTGTGCGCGCGTTTTGCCGCTGGCGCGCCACCCCATGCTAACACCACCTGAACTGTGTACGCCTGAGACGCGTTCAGCCCTTCCGTGGCTGCTAGTGCGCCCCGGACTCACATTTGCTACCTTGCAGAAGAGTTCTTGGCGCGGGAGGTGACGCTGAGCCTGACGAAATTCGGCATTATCGCACCCGCGTCGATAGAGGTCCTTTGTTACCGCCACCCAGCCTAACTGACGCCACTTTATAACGCGGCACGGGAGCTCGAGGCCTTAACGTCGAGCCCGTGTCTAAATTCTCCTTGGCTGTTAATGTGGATTAAAATCAGCAAAGCCAATAATAGATGCTCTGCCTGCCTGTTGACGGCATGCAGCAACCGTCTTCTGCTCCGCGCTGTCGGTTGAACTACAAAGCCATGCTCAGGTGATTTCAGCAGCAGGTGGGATCCACTAATTACTCTGCTAGCCTGGGCTGATGCAGCTGTCTAAACGCACTCGCGCGGCTGGAATGCATCCACAATTTGGCAGTTCACAAGTTGGCCATCTCCTACTCCGAGTGCAGCTTCCAAAAACCTAAGCCACGACTATCTGCTAACTTGCCCCCCAGACATCTGTCCTAGAACTGTGCCTTTACACAGCACATCATGCTCGTGTGCAGCGTACTCCATGGTAGGCTGATAACTTCATTTTTTGCTCACCTTCAATATTTTCATATCAGCCCAAGAACTAGAACTCCTCGCTTGCGCATTTCATTTTGCGTAGCCCACCCGGCACAGAGTTAAACTTTCAGTCAAGTATCATGCATGCTAGTGTATTCACGAACTTAAGTGCCACAATAGACTGCATTATGCACCCTTCGGTACATCTAAGCACTCACCTAGACCCTAATCAAAGCCATTATCTCTGCGGCAGCTGCACATCGTTAATCCCCGCCGTGTTTTTTTGTGGTGAATGACAGACTGTGTTTGAATTTAAACCTGATTTGAACTTCTTGCTTTGTACGGTACCGTATCTGGTGGTGATTTCTGGCGACTGTAGACATAAACTTTGTCTTTTGAATGTTCATGGGAGGGGGCAAGATGGAAATCCGCATTACACAAGCCGTATGATTTTGGAGGTTACTGTCGGATGCAGGCCGATTTCAGCGCCATTCGGAACGATGACAGTTGACTTTAATGTTGAAAAATGTTCTTCATCGCATCAAACGCAAACATCGTGCACTGCGATGAGCTGATTGACTTGCGTCTTCAAAAGTAGCCGTTGTTGTGCCTCGTATCGTCACGGCTTAACGTTTTGACGCCTGCTGCAGCCTTGGCCGCGGGTCTTGCCCCGAGCTGTGACCCCAGCTCCCAGCCGTGTCACCACATCGTGACCTTGTGACCCGATCATGTGAGACCTACGACCCCAGTCGTGGGATGAGTGGTGTACTGGGACCTTACTTACGAGCCGTGCCTTTTGCTGTGGCCTGGGCGGTGTGAGCCGTGTCGTGAGCTGTGACCTCATCTGTGACCTGTGGCCCCGACCATGACCTGTGACATCAGCTGTGGGCCGTGCAGTGCGCCATCGCGCCATCGCCTCGAACGTGGACTGCCCCGTGAGTTTTGATCCTAAATGCACGGCGTGTCGAGAGCTGTAACATTACCCCTTAATTCATTGTCCAATCCCATGATCTGTGACCTCATCCCGTGATTCGTTGTCTCATCCCGTGATCCGTGACCTCATCCGGTTATTCGTTGTTCCATCCCGTGATCTGTGACCCTACCCCGTGACCCGTGACCTCATCCCGTGACTTATGACCTCATTTGTCGATTCGTGGCCTCATCCCGTGGTTTATGACTTCACTCTGTGGTTCGCGACCTCATCCCGTGATCTGTGGCCCTATCCCGTGACCCGTGACCTCATTCCGTGATCTGTTACTCCATTCCGTCATCCGTGGCCTTTGCCATGAGTTGTGACTTAAGTCGCAGCCAGCATCCTTACCATCGGGCCGTGACCTCCGCTGGACTCCGTGACCTCCGCTGGACTCCGTGACCGCATCTGTGAACCGTGAGCCCGCCGACGTCGGGTCGCCGGGCCGGCTTGCATCAGCACACAATGCCGGCAGCGGCGGTGCTGCTCGCCGCGAACCGCCGCCGACCGGCCACAACCGGACTGGTCCTGCTTCGGAGGCGTGGCGCGCCGCCCTGCATAGCCGCCGCGCGGCGACGCGGCGTCATCCTTCCCGCCGCCGCCCTGAGCGTATTCCTCTGCAGCCCCTGCGGCGCTATAAAACCCTGCCGCCGGCGGGCGGCGGCGTGAGACCTTAACAACGCTCGCCCCGCCACCTGTCGGTATGGGACGCCCCGAGGAGGCTCAGGAGGCCCCGCGCCGAGGCCGGCTGCTGGCGCAGCTGGCGGCCACCCTTGCCGCGGCCTTCATGGGCAACACCAACGCCATAATCATCGGCTGGGGTGTGGTGGCTAACTGGCAGCTGCAGCAGCCGGGCTCGCTACAGCTAGACACGGCGCAGCGGGCGCTGCTGATGGCGGTGGTGTACCTCGGCTGCGCCTTCGGATGCTTGGCCGGCGGCAAAGTCAACGCCAGGTTCGGACCACGCGGCACTATGCTCATCTCCCTGCTGCCGATAGTGCTGTCGAACGGCATCATCTCTCTCAGCTCCAGCTTCCAGATGCTGATGGCAGGTGAGATGGCGGGTAGAGTGTTGGATGAGCTGCTGGATGAGGTGGAAGGTGAGATGAAGGGTGAGATAGAGGATGAGGTGGAGGATGAGGTGGAGGATGAGATGAAGGATGAGTTGGAGGGTGGTGTGGAGGGTGAGGTGGAGGATGACGTAGATGGTGAGCTGGAGGGCAAGGTGGAGGGCGACGTGCTGAAACTGGATGATGTGAAGGGTGAGATTAACACGCGCCAGGGTAGCCGGTTGAATATCCTGCTCTTCGGTGGGGGATCAGTTTGACCCCGTGAGATCTACAAAAGCAAGAGAGCTAGAAAAGCAAAGTTCACAAGGTGTCTTTCCTGTATGTGGCTTCACTTTTGACAGCATTTTTTTAGACCCCTAAGTTATATACTTCTGGTCAAATAAGGTCAAACAAGGTTCAACTTCACACTGCTGTCCGAAGTGCCCGCTGACCCTCTCGTGCAACCGCCATGAACCTAGGTACCGCGGAACCGTGAACCGTAGTCGCGACCCTGGATCTAAGCAAAATGTCGCTGATACTTGATTAAGGTCAGTGACGTTGTTTGATCTTGAGGTCACGGTGACCAAAATCACACATGGCTACTTCGAATTTTGTATTTGAATAAGCGTCAAAGATAACGTAAGTTGTTTAGCTCATAAGCGAGGAACGTTAGCTCATTAGCGAGGAACATACCACCTAGCGTAATCCTTGACGCTTAGGAAAGAACAGGAGAATGAAGATATAACTAGATTGTCATTTCGGCAAAATGCCTTTATCGAAAAAAAAGCAGCAGAAGTGAATTCCAAATTGTCTGCCGATGATCCTGCTCGGTTACGAGTAGGATCACCGGCAGGCATTTTTTAATTCACTTCTGCTTTTGTTTCCATAAAGGCATGTTGCCGAAATATCAACCTAACCATATATTTATTTTCTTGGTTTTTCCGATGAATAAAGCTAATACTACCGCCTTATCTAAGCGTCAAGGATTACGCTAGGTGTCATGCTTTCAGCGAGGACAATTTCTAGGGAATCGTTCAATCTGATCCAACAACTGAGTGTTAGACGAAGCCATACATCCATGCAATATTTTCCTAGGCAACACAACAAATGAATAAAGAAGTTACATTGGCCTAGGGTCAGAACCAACCCGTTTTATTATTCTAGGTCAGACGAAGGCCAGAACAAACCTGTTTTTTTATTTTAGAGCTTGCTGTATGGGATAGCTTCTGGTGCTCATTTCGAATTCATTGACAGCAGGAACCGCATTACACACCCTCCATGGGCTTCTTAAAGGTCAAAATAGGTCACCGACCTAACATAACCCTGGTCAGCATTTTGTTTTAGGAAAATGCTGCCTAGCGTAATCTTTGTCGCTTATCAAAATGCGAAATTCGAAGCAGTCTTGTATGGTGTTGGTCGCCATGACCTTAGAAAGAACAAACAAGGTCACTGACCTTATATGGACATGTGACATTTTGCTTAGAATTGTTCTCTAGGTTCTAGGGGCCCTTTAAAAATCAACCTGGATATTCACCTTGTTTGACCTTATTTGACCCAAAAGTCATGACCCGGGAACCTTAAACTTTTACCTCAGTGAGTTCACGTACAAGTCAACACACTCTGTGAATTTGGTATATCTAGCTCTCTTAGTTCCTGAGATCTTAGGGAGTCAAATTGACCCCCACTCGAGCAAAGGGTATCCGACCGGCCACTCGGGCGCTTAAGGAGTCAAATTGACCCCGACTCGAGCGAAGGGTATCCGGCCGGTCACCCGGGCATGTTAGTTGTCTAAAGGTGGGCAAAATTTGGTGTGACTTCGCCGCACCGTTCGGAGATCAGTCCGGAGAAATATTTTGGGGTGCCACCTGACTCTCAGATGATTACCATTCTGCAATAGCTTCGGGCCATGGCTCATTCGCTGGCATTTGCCTTACCGCCAATCAAAAACAAAGTATTATTGTTTGTAGGAAAAATTCAAGCTTCTAGAAGTAACCCATCGCTGCATGACCTGATGTCAAACATTTCGAAACATATATGCGTTGGATGAATCATCAGCTAAAAGGAGCTGGATCGTGTCGCCACATAGCTTTCCTTTGCAATCTCGGATCGGATCGGATCGGATGTAATCTTTGTAATCCTTTGTAATCTCGGACACGCCTCTGGTGGGGCCTTTTCCTCCGTTTCCCTTCCTGTTCACCTGTTGCCCCTCATGTTCACTTGTGGACACCAATTTTCACCTGTTAACACTCATGCTAACTAACTCATGCTAACTGTTAATACTCATGCTTACCTGGTACCGCTCATGTTCACCTTAAACTCCCATTTTCACCTTTTATCCCCCTGTTAACCTGTCTCTGTTCACGGGCCAACACTCATGTTTAGATGTTGCCCTTCATGTTCTCCTGTTAACCATTTTCTTCACCTTTAAACACTCATGTTCAGCTGGTACATATCATGTTCACCTTTTAGCACTCATGTTCACCTGGTACGCCTGATGTTCACCTGTTAAGAATCATGTTCACCTGTTACCCCATCCTATTCATGTTACCCATCATGTTTGGCTGGGACCTTTCATAATCACCTGCTAACCATTCTGTTCAACTGCTACCCCACATGTTTACAAATGAGCCCTTCTCTTGACCTTTTAACTTTTCTGCTCACTTTTTAATCCTCCTGTTTGCCTGTTACTTCTCGTGTTCATCTGTTACCCCTCCTGATATTCTGTTAACTCTCCCGTTGGCCCTCCTGCTCTCTTTTTAATCCTCCTGTTTACCTGTTACTCTTCCTGTTCATCTGTTATCCCTCCTGTTCTGTGAACCCTCCTGTTCACCTGTTACCCCAGCGCATGTCCGCCCTGAGCTTGCACTGGCCGTCCGCCTGGGAGTGGAGGCTGACTGGACGCTGATCCGCCCGGCCAGGCGAGGGACGGCGGGAGCCCAGCTCTTGGGTACGGTCACGAGCTCTCACTTCCCAGTGAGCAGCCCGGTGAGCAGCGAGCAGCTCACTCGCACTTCACCCCCAGGTGTGTCCCAGCTTACTACGACTCCCAAGTCTCAGTTTTAGCGGCTAAAGTACCGACGGCGCGAGCCTCTCCGGGGTTGTTCCTGGCGAGAATAGCGTGGAGGTAGGCCAGACCGTCGTGGAATGGGACGTCAAGGGGCTGAATTGCAGCCAAACTGACGTGTTGTTTGGCTGCTGGCGTACGCCCATGTCAGCGCAGTACCGTCTGCGACCATTGACCTCTGACCTCTGACCTCTGCACCTCTGCATCTCTGCATCTCTGATAAGCGTGTTATCTTTGCAGGCCGTTTCCTCAGCGGCTTCAGCTCCGGCCTGCCATACGCCGTCTACACCCTCTACATCAGCTGCACCTCCTCGCCGGCCTACCGCGGCATGTTCGGCGTCCTGCCCGACATCATCAGCATGCTGCTTATCGCGGCCATGATCGCGCTGGGCACCTTCATGAAGTGGACGTGGCTGGCGGTACTTTGCGGCCTCGTGCCCACCGTAGTGCCGGGCCTGGTGCTGGCGCTGCTGCCGCACGACCCCGCATGGCTGGTGGGTCAGGGCCGGCTGGCCGAGGCCAAGCGAGCCGCTGTCGTCTTCGACGTCGACATAGACTTGGCCGACTCCAGCGGACTGGACGGCGGCGACGGCGGCGGCGGCGACGGCGGCGGCGGAGTGAGGGAGACGCTGCGCCTGCTGACCAAGCGGAAGAACCTGGCGCCGCTTGTCATCATGATGACCATCATCATCGGAAACGCCTTCTCTGGCTACATGGCCATCCTCACCTACTCGCTGGAGTTCTTCCGGCGGGCGGGCTTCGAACTAGACGCCTCCGTCTGCTCCATCCTCTTCGTCGCCATCCGCGTGGTGGCCGTGCTGGTCACCTCGCAGGTGGTGGACCGCGCCGGCCGCCGGACGCTCCTGCTCGTCAGCTGCGGCGGCGTCAGCGTCTGCTACTTCCTGCTGGTGCTCTGCTACCAGGCGCCGGTGCTGGTGCCGGCTCTGGTGGTGCCCGCCTGGCTGCCACTGGCGGTGCTGCTCGCCGCCGGCTTCGTCTACTCGACCGGCTTCGCCTGTGTCCCCTGGTGCCTGGTGGGCGAGCTCTTCCCCAAGAGCATGCGCCCTGTAGGCGGTTCTGTCATCCCCGCCAGCTACAGCCTGTTCAGCATGGTCGCCACGTACGTGTTCCCCGTGATGCTGGAGGCGCTCGGCGCCAGCGGACTGTTTCTCTTTTACGCGGCCGTCACGGCCGCCATCATGGCGTTCGTCATGGTCATGCTCCCCGAGACCAAGGGCCTCTCGCTCGCCGCTATCGAGACGCTGTTTGACAGGCCGGTGCCGCCGTCCCATACGGGTGAGGCGGAGGAGGGGCGGGGGCGGTGGACGGGGGTGTTGTGCTGCCGTCGCTAAAACGGCGGCGGCGGTACGCCTCTGCGGCTTGCACACCTGCTGCCCTCTGTGATCGTGCCAGCAAGTGATGGTGCCATGTGCTGCCTAAGATGGCAGTACCAGCCACAACGTTGCAGGGGCCGGACTCCATGCGTCCGGGACCACTGCAGGCCAGAGAGCGACTCCTCCCGTCTCTGCGGCAGCAGGGAGCTATGCAGCTTGATGAATTTCGGACGAACGGGTCTCTTAAGGCAGATGCTTTCTCATGAACACCTGTCAACAACTGGGTGATATTTGAGAAAGGTCAGATTCCTTCCATGAAGGTGGACTTCTCACGATGGCTACTCAATACAGAAACACATGCGCGGAAAATGCTGCTGAGGACGCTTTAAGCAGTTCGGGTGGCGTTCTGACTTACAAAGAAGGTCTCTTGCCAGGCCATGTTTTGAATGACGAGCTGACGTCACGCGCGTAGGAGCGCTGTTTGGAGGGCTTTACTGTCGGGAGGGAGGCTTTACCTGAGCATGCGCCCAGGACTATGCAGTTCAGACAAGTTAAAAACAGGTTCGTATATGTTTCTTGAAATAGAGGCGTTTTTGACACGTTTCAACCCCTCTCTGTCCAGCTTACGGACTGGCGGCGCCGGACTAGTGGCTACCATTTCTCCGTGATCACGCTGCAAAGCTTTCAAGGTCTTTCATCACGACTTGCAACCACAATTAAGCGTAGCAATGCTCTGTCAAAAAGTTCCCACTCCCCACTGCTGGGCTTCGGTTACGGCTACAGAAATCCACCTCGCTTCTTGCGGGATGTGGTTTACGAGCAGCCCGGTTTTATGGCAAACTGTTTTACTGCTGAAAAACTGGACGCGGGCTAGAGGCTGGACATAGCCAGCCCTCTGGACGCTGTTTCCCTTTGATGAAGACTACACCGCCTCGACTCGCCCTAGCTCGCGTGCTGACGGTTATGTGAGACTCGCCCTAGCTCGCGTGCTGACGGTGGTGTGAGGCTCGCCCTAGCTCGCGTGCTGACGGTGATGTAAGACTTGCCCTAGCTCGCGTGCTGACGGTGGTGTGAGGGTCGCCCTAGCCCGCGTGTTGACGGCGATGTGTGATTCGCCCTAGCCCGCGTGCTGACGGGGATGTAAGACTCGCCCTAGTTTGCGTGTTAACGGTGATGTGAGGCTCTCCCTTGCTCGCGTGCTGACGGTGATGTAATAATCGCCCTAGCTCGCGTACTGACGGTGATGTAAGACTCGCCCTAGCTCGCGTGCTGACGGTGATGTAAGACTCGCCCTAGCTCGCGTGCTGACGGTGATGTAAGACTTGCCCTAGCTCGCGTGCTAACAGTGATGTAAAACTCGCCCTAGCTCGCGTGCTGACGGTGATGTAAGACTCGCCCTAGCTCACATGCTAACAGTGGCGTGAGGCCGGCGTTCACGACATGTTGGTCCATATTCTTCAAATAAAAGAACCGTTTGCTAAATGAGACAAAACCTGAATGATACAAATGGTGCATCGGACTAGTTCGCGCTGCATTTCATGTCTTTCGTAAAGTGCACGTGCTAAATAAAATCTGATGTTGAAGGACGTGTTTTGCATTCCTCGGCATTGTAATCAACGAAATAGGAGAACGATAACCGACGATTCTAGAGACTTCTAGTAGACCACCAGCTGTTCTCTCTGCCTAAAAACCTCATCTTCCATGACCCGTTAATGGATAATAAGTTAGCAAAAACGTGAGGCCTCCTCACGATACGGTCGCCTGGCCCGACAGGCGACTGGCCGTCGACCCATCGCCAGCTGCATAGGGTAAAACGCATTCGAAGTCGTCCGACTCATTTTTTGACGTCCGGACTGAGACGATCTGGCAGCACGAGTGGGACCGCGGCATCCGGGCTGCCAGATCCAGCGGACTCTGTGCCAGCCGCTGAGGGGCTCTACAAAAATCTTGTCACCAGGGCGCTCTCGGAGAACACCGTTCTTCGTAGATATATGCATTCGGTCTCTCTTTACCGCGTGTCAGGAAACAGCTGGTTCCTAGGTCTGAGGTATTGAGCGCTGCATCACAAACGAAGATCCCCTGCCTCCATCCCCCTCCCTCCTCCCCCGCCCCCCGTTCATCCCTCATGACATAACGTGCTGCGTCGTGAGCACGCTGCCTCGCGTATCATCCCGCTTAGGCCACCGCTCTGAGTCTCTCACTCTGAGACGCAAGTCTCACGTCTCAAGCAAAGATTTCACTCCGTCAGCGTACCCATCGAGGACGCAGAGCGCCCCTTCTGCAACCTACGCTGCCATTCCAAGCTCCCTCTCGTGAGACGCAGAGTGCTCCGTCTCTAACGTACGCTGCTACTCCAAGTTCCCTCTCGTGAGACGCAGAGTGCTCCGTCTCTAACGTACGCTGCTACTCCAAGTTTCCTCTCGTGAGACGCAGAGTGCTCTGTCTCTAACGTACGCTGCTACTCCAAGTTCCCTCTCGTGAGACGGAGAGTGCTCCGTCTCTAACGTACGCTACTGCTCCAAGCTCCCTCTTGTGAGACGCAGAGTGCTCCGTCTCTAACGTACGCTGCTACTCCAAGTTCCCTCTCGTGAGACGCAGAGTACTCCGACTCGACGCGGACCATTCTATTCTCAGCTCGTGCAGACCGCTGCACTCTGACCTAAGAGACGGACCGCCGCGCTCTGTCCCGAGGGACGGGCCGCTGCACTCTGACCTAAGAGACGGACCGCCGCGCTCTGTCCCGAGGGACGGGCCGCTGCACTCTGACCTAAGAGACGGACCGCCGCGCTCTGTCCCGAGGGACGGGCCGCTGCACTCTGACCTAAGAGACGGTCCGCTGCGCTCTGTCCCGAGGGACAGAGCACAGCGGACAGACAAACATCCTCCACCAGCTGTCCAGAGTCTTGTGAGAGGTCACTGGGCCACTGACGGACTGAACACGCTCCACCAGCTGGCCAGAGTCTTGTGAGAGGTCATCAGGCTCATGAAGTGACCGCAGCGCCGCCACATCCGGCGAGCAGGGATCAGCAGGCCACAGCATCAGCAGAGGAGATGGGAGGCACACGAGCCCAATACGAGCTGCAGGTCACCCAGGTGTAGTGGCAGAAGTCAGGACCAGTCTCTCAGGGTCAGTCTCTCGCGACGTGGTACGTGAAAGGGCCGCGCGTCTCGCATTTGTGTGTGCCAAGTCGTCTAACCTACTTTTGTACGCAAAACTGATAGCATGTACGTGCCTGTTCGTGGGCAAATTATTTCAGTCATAGGGTCAGCATTATAGCACATATCTAAACCTCCTGGTAGCTTGGGCACATGATGCATTACTTCGTCCAACCCAAATGGAAATGGAAGCGACTATCTGCCAAAATCTGCGTAATATAACATGTGCTGCCCTTCCGATCTACATACTGCGACATGCCAATCTCACTGAATTCTCATCGGAAGCAAAAATAATTTTAGTGAATGAATAGGGATAGATAGCAAGCTATGTGACAGATCATAGCCGCTGGTTGGCAGGGTAAAGCTCGACAGGCTCCGGTTCCCCCGCGCACGTCAGGCCTGGTACACCAGACCATACACTCCGCGCACGTCAGGCCTGGTACACCACACCATACACTCCCCGCACGTCTGGCCTGGTACACCACACCATACACTCCCCGCACGCCTGGCCTGGTACACCAGACCATACACTCCCCGCACGCCTGACCTGGTACACCAGACCATACACTCCCGCACGCCTGAACTGGTACACCAGACCATACACTCCCCGCACGTCTGGCCTGGTACACCACACCATACACTCCCCGCACGCCTGGCCTGGTACACCAGACCATACACTCCCCGCACGCCTGGCCTGGTACATCAGACCATACACTCCCCACACGCCTGACCTGGTACACCAGATCATGCATTCTGCACGCGCCTGGCCTGGTGCCTGATCTGAATCACATACAGACCGTGTATCGGAGGCAGCAGCGCCGCCAGGGAGAGCCAGTGCCAGCCCGGCCGGGGGATGCACCGTCCCCCGCCGCCTCACCTGTCCCGGTGGCGCCAATGTCGCCGCTGCTTGCATTCTCCGGCGCGGCAGGCTGTCGCCCAAACCGAGCTGCGACGAACATGGAGAGCGGGGAGGGGCGGGGGCGGGGGCGGGGGCGGGGAGCGTCACCGTTCTGGCACTGGCCGGACTGTTAGATGGATGCTTCCAGACCCCAGGCGCGCGAGAGTTACGCGGAAACTGCGCTGAAGTCTTGGCTGAACAAGTCCCGGGAAATGGTGGTCCTATTGGACTATGATCACTTGATTTTGAGACTTTTGAAAAATGGTAAGTGTTTTTAATGGGCCTCCTGGGCAACAAATATCTTAACGCTGCGAGTTCTGTTTATGATTCGCGACGTTTAATAGAATACGACGTTGATATAGATAATTCGCTGCCGAATTACCTATATGATTCTAGATCGATGTCGGACAAGATGTTGTGCGTCGTTTATTGAAATATGACGTTGAAATAGATAGTTCGCTGTTAAATCATCTACATAATTTTAGATCGATATCGGATAAGATATTGCACGTCGCAAAAAGTTACGGGCTCACATGAATTATGAGCATGCTACAATACGAAACACTGGCGAAAGACAGCCTCCAGCTGAGATGCGGCCTTCATGCCCAAACGCGGTCCCGAAGCCGCTTTCCATTACGTCACAGTTGACCATTTGATGACAGGCTGGTCGGGCTCTGCTTCTGCGCATGCGCGTGCCGTAACTGGTCGTGATGTTATAGGCTACATCCCGGGATGACGTTTGGCAGTGAAGAGCGTACCTCGACTGGAGTCAACCAATATAAATGCCTGAGCAGGAACAGAGCGAGTCGTGCAGGCATTAGATGACTCTTAAACACGTAAGATTCCGTCTTCCCTCAGACGGTGTTCAGAAGTATGCACCGCAAAGCGCTAGTTATTGGTGTCAAAGGGCAGGCGCGTTCTTGAGGTCATTTCGCACCCGTTTGGTCCTAACATACGGCATCAAAGCACTAACTCACACACAGAGGTCTAAAATGGCTTGCACACGGCAAGGGCATCACGTGCTTCGAGCTTGAATAATTTAGGGACCACTTACGTTGTACGTAGTGACCGCTTACGTAGGATGTACGTTCTTATACGATAAATATTAACTTTACCCATTTCTCGATACTCGCCAACACGAAGCACCCAATCAAGGATCACAATATATCCTCACATCACCACATTAATCATCACACCATCAAAAGATACAGCATCGAACATGTCACACGTCACACGTACCAGTTGTGACGGCGCCGGCGACGGAGTGCGGCGCCAGTCCAGCGCCGAGGGCGACCGTCACAACACGTCACTCACGATCCAGAGGTGCGAGCTGCTGTTGATTCCCACGGGTGCCTCTCCTCGGCCGGCGCCCGCACCTGAACACACCTGCAGACCCCCGGCTGCCGCACGGCGCGGTCTCTTCGGCCGGCCCCCGCACCTGGGTGCACCGGCAGACCCCCGGCTGCGGCACGGCGCGGTCTCCTCGGCCGGCCCCCGCACCTGGGTACACCGGCAGACCCCCGGCTGCAGCACGGCGCGGTCTCCTCGGTCGGCCTCCACACCTGGGCACACCAACAGAACACGCCGTTCGGCCAGCGGCACGACATTGGCGTGTGGGCAACGGGCACTGACCGACGTCAAGGTTATGTTAGAGCATAGGAGGCCACTATGCACATTATATTATAACAGAACATAGGAGATCATTGCTTCAGCAGGGTGCGCCAGCAACGGTCATGGTTCTGTCAGCAGAGAAATCCGTCGGCAGACTGCGTCAACAGTGAATATCAGTGGCGGCATTGGCCGATGGTATGTCAGGGACGACACTGCCAGGCATGACAGTGTCAGATATGGCAGTGTCAGGTATGACAGTGTCAGCAAGATGTGTCAGCAGAAGTCACCGTTGTATCAGCGGGGTCCCCAGCAGGGGTCAGGGGTCCCTAGCAGGGGTCAGGGGTACACCAGCAGGGGTCAGGGGTACACCAGCAGGGGTCATGTTTGTGTCCGCAGAGAAATATGTTGG